AATCATAATAATAGTTATATATATATATATATATATATATATGGAGAGAGAGAGAGAGAGGCAGTATGTAGGCGTTTATCCAATTCATCCAATACTATTTCAATAAAATTCTACGTAGGTGTAATATAATGATTAGTTTTTCTCATAGAAAATTATTCTTATGTTAATTTTTGTACTTAATGTTTTATCAGAAAGACAAAGTACCTATATTTATAGTAAGAATATGTTTATTAGATAAAAAGAAAACAACAACAATAACGATGTTTAAATTCATGGGATCTGTTGTAATGGTATTCAATGTTCGATGATTTAACCGGGTTGGTGGATATGCAAAGGGTGTGTACGTTGAAGGCTCCAATGTGTAGTTTGGAGTGAGGTTTCAGTAGAACTGGGACAGTGTTTTGAGCACTAGAATCGTTGGCTATAGTGACACTTGAGGGGGAAGCCGGAAGAGGAGGTTTAGCGTTGAAAGTCGATGTAGGGGGAATAATAGGAATTGAAGAGAGAGGTTGATTATAAATACAGTGGTCTTGAGTGCTGTTAAAGGTATGACAGCGGTTATCACTTCCCGGTTTCCCACACCATGGAAGTGTTCTTCTGGAGGTACCTGAAAAGAAAATTGGATTAGAGGTGGTTTTAGTGACCTGAGAGCGTGATCGCAGTGCCCAATGGACAACTGTTTGAGCTCGGTCACACACGACCTTTTTGCGAGTAATTTTCGTGTTAGCTCTGTACTTGTTGAGACCTTACCGCCGGGGACGGATATTCATAGGATAAGGCGGGATGTGCATTTTTGGGTCAACTTTTTCTAACCCCATCCCTCCTTGTGGGAAGGCAGCATCGCTGTTATGCTTGCTGTCTGAAGGAAACACCTTACTACCGTCACACCTGTGTACAGTCAGCAGTACGACTTCGCCTTCAGACCTTGGGTTTGCTGTTTTTAGTCTTACCGTTATTCAACCGACCTGTCTGGCATGATAGGACCTTGAGGAACCGTTGTTCCAGCCAGTGCAGCTCAGTTGCTTCATCACGATAGGCAAGCCCAACCACCACGTCAAGGTGGCAACAACGGTCGGGGATACGGTAAACCATGATTCCAAATCAATGGTGCACATGGTCTCCATGATTCTGAAGGAAAAAATGACATATGAACGAATATCTAGTCACTGGCTACCATGGGACTGCATCTCTTAAAGTTACTCTATTGCCTTGTAGATCAAACCTTTAGGTCGGGTAGATCCGAGTGTGGTTCCCTAAGAAAACCACTTGCTTCGGTTTGGGCACCCGGGAAGTATCACAGCCCACACACGAATAGAATGGTTTGTGTGGCGCATATGTATTCCTCGCCCCTTTGTATCAATATTTATATGTTCAAATAAATAAATAAAGTGACTCAATACACCAGCCAATTGCGATTTTACTATCAACAAAGTTCTACATTTAATTTTGTGATGAGAATACCTTATGATCAGTGACTAGTGCTTTTTAATTTTAATCTTTTAAAGTTATTTACCGTTGTAAATAATATTCTGTTATGGAAGTAGTTATTTGATTGTCTCTTTCCTCTTATGTGTATTTCCAAAATGAATTGCCAGTTGTCAATTGTGATTCTGACTTTCGATTTTATTTGCCCCCAAAATGCCCTAGTACGACCGAGAGTGGGGAGAGTCGCCTCGCCCTTTCGAAATGCTCTCACGTGGCCACGTGCATACAACTACTGACAGGGAAGTTCTACCCACTACCTTCTCGCGGCATTACTGTTGTTTGTGATATTGAGAGGACGAAAAGCAAATGTCCGGCGCTTTAACCGCGTTGGTGGACATATAGTCCAACTATGTGAGTTGAAAAACCCTGATTCCAAACCAATGGTGCACATGGGTTCCATGATCCTGAAAGAACAAATGACGTATGAACCAATTATTGGTCACTAGCTACTATGGGACTGCATCTCCTTACGTTTCTTCACTGCCTTGTGGATCAGACCTTTAGGCCGAAGGCTCCGAGTGTGACCCCCTAAGAAAACCACCTACCGGCTTCCATGGGACTGCATTTCTTGACGTCGCTCCACTGCCTTGTGTGATCAGATCTTTAAGTCGAATGGCTCCGGGTGTTTTTCCCTATGAAAACCACCTATTTCGGTTTGGGCACCCGGGCATTATCACAGCCCACACACGAATAAAATGATTTATGTGGCGCATATCTATTTGCTGACTCTTTGTATCAATTTTTATGTGTCTAAATAAATAAAATGTCAAACACATCGACTTTTCTTTGTTTATCTCTTTTCAACTTTTCTTTAACAAATATCATTGTTATCTTTTTTTCTTGATGTGAATGAATTTAGTTTGTATTTCTCTGGAGCATGTACCATAAATAAATCCTACGTAATGATGCATTCCTAGCTTCTATACGTATGTCCTACACTTTTATACAATACAAGCACTCAGGATAGCACTGAATTATTAAAAATCATTACATTTTCAATCATAAATTGTAATTTACTTAGATACTGTTGATAGTTTGCATAACTTATAGGTTTATCAGTTCATGTAAGTTTTTTATAACTAAATTCACTTAATCTGAACAATCCATCTATCAGTGTATCCCGCTGCTTCAGTGTTTATAAAAGGGGAAAGTTGTCTTATGTACGAGTGTTTTATGATGACCACTATAATTTATTGACGACCTTTAAGCGATACAAAAGTAACCTTGAGAAACTCCGCTTCTTAGGCTCAAAATAGGTTTATGAATCAGTCTGAGAAATTAGAACTAGGACCTAGGACTAGAAGTTAAAGTCAGTAACTACATTTACTATTTTCATCACAAGTTGACATCAGCTATATAATCCAAGAGTTCTGTTTAGCCACATGGGTGAATGAATTTTGCGTCAAAAGTCAAGATACTTCATCAACGATTAGTACTCTGTCTTTTGTCGATATATTCAGATTTTTTATTCGAACTGCGAGTAATGGTCCTAATTTATGTCTGTAGATCTTGATTACCATGGTCAGGGTTTGATAGTGGTAATAAAGCATATGAATTTATTCCCTATCTTCCCTTAAATCTTGAGTCCACACTTTATAACTGGATCTCATTCGTCCCTTTTGAACTATATCACGTATGTTTAGTTTCCACTAGGGTAGGGAGCAATATCTCTCATTCTCTGCTCTTCATCTTTTTAATTGCCGCTTTCTTTCGTGTTAATATGCATTGCTGTACCGTTGACCCATACAGATTTGTCCCGAATTCCACGTAGATAGTGGATGATTACTTGCTTACGCCTGTTACTCGTAGTGGAGCATAGGTCGCCGACCAGCATTCTCCGACGCCATTTGTCCTGGGCCTTCTTTTCTATTTCTATCCAATTGTTGTTCATTCTTCTCATATCTGTCTCCATTTTGTCGGCGTAATGTATTCTTTGGTCTTCCTCTTCTCCTTTGACCTTGAGGATTCTATGTGAGGGCTTACCTTGTGACGTAGTTGTGTGCTTTCCTCAATGTGTGTCCTATCCACTTCCAGCACGTCTTCCTGATTTCTTCCTCCACTGGGATCTTGTTTGTTCTCTCCTACAGTAAATTGTTGCTGAAATTTTCGGTCCAACGGGTCCGAAGTATTTTGTGTAAGTAATTTTTAATAAACACTTGTATCTTCTGGAATATTGTCTGGTCCCGCTGCTTTGCCGCTTTTGATTTGTCTGATGGCCATGCTGAACTCTTCAATTATTGGTGAGCCAACATCGATTGGGTGGTCTGTGGGTGATGCTTTGATGTTGGGTTGATTCAGTGGAGCTGGTCGATTCAAAAGTTCCTTAAAGTGCTGCCCCCATCTGTTTCTCTGTTCCTCAGTGTTAGTGATTACTTTCCTTTCCATGCCTTTCAATAATCGTTCTAGTTTGCGGTAATTTCCAACGATCTTCTTTGTTGTATCATACAATTGTCTCAGAAAATGGAAGCCTGAATAATTAGAAATATTCAATGTAACATGTCATTTAATATATGATTTTGAGGGTAATTAAATTATAGGGAAATCATAAATAACCTGAAGTTATTTATTGTGAACATGTTGAATGACAATGTACTGATATTCCTCCCCTTGTATACTTTTGTCCATAGCAACATAAATCAATATTACGTGTGACATCTACTTACAATTATATATAAACTTCATTATATTTTGAGCTTGAAATACCTTGTAATATCTATTTACAAGTGAACAGATAGATAATTATTCCTTCAAATGTCATATATTCATGCATATGCTGTATTTGTCTATTATGTTTATCTGTTTTAGTCAATCAATGTGTGTGTGTGTTTTTGTGCTTATGTAAGGACAAAGTAGTTTACAGCACACATAACGCTTATTTTTTCATACATCAGTGAACCTTAGGATAGAAACGTATACGATAGGGTTTTTTTCTCTAATTTCCTTTTAGTCCCTTTTTATTTTGAATGATTGAGATCATGAGTCAATTGAAGTTAGACCACTATGGAAAACCTGGAAGCACTGGATGGCTAATTCGTCCTATTGTTGGACTCCTCAGTAGTGTGCATCCACGATCCGGTCTAAGCGAGATTTGAACCCAGAACCTATCAGTCTCGTGTGAGGGTGCTTATTCTGTTTATTGTGCTGTACAATGTTAAATTGATTGGATTTTGTTTATAGTTACAATTTATTTAAGAATAATTTAAGGTTGTGCAATTGAAGAAGCTTATTAACATATTCGTTCTTATCACATTTATAACTTGATGTTTTTGTTACTATTCGATTTGATACATTGTTGATGAGACTTTCTTTTCTTTTCGGTAAATGTCAATTTGCTTACTTTTTAAATCGAGAAAAATAGCAAGGACGCTTACAATGTTACTTTTAAATAGAATTTCAGTAGTATATTGTTATGTTCAATAACATTTACATTTGACATTCTTTGTATATTATACTCTAAACATTTCGTTTGATATATTGTTTTCTCTAAACTTTATTTAATCATATTATCTAAATAGAGAAACAAATTCATTATGGCAACCTGTTACATCACTTGCATCTATGCATAATTTAATACAGTCATGGCGTCATATATTAATTGATGGTGGATGTGAGAAATTACTCCAATCCGGTGTTTATGGTGTTCATCAGGTATGTAGAATTGTCATTCTTTTTTTGGGGGTTAGAATAAGTTAGAATAAGTTTTGAAAATGGTAGGTTTGGTCTTATTGATTTGAACAATTAACCCATTCTAAACGATGGGTGTAACACGGTTTATCGTTATCTCCCATTATACTTGACATTAATAAAGAATGAAGATGAATACATGTACTTACAATCATCAAAGTTTTGCAATATCTGCATTTTATTACCAGTTCATTATATTACAGTTAAGTGTGTAAGATGTATGATTCGAGTTTCACAATAGTTTTTTAAAGCCTGCACTCTGTTCAGCGAACCTCAAAACTGTAGTATACTTACAACTATCAAATTTTCATAATAGTATTCGACCATATTTATGTACATCGATCAAACAGTGTTGGAGTAGTGTCTCTCTTTATCTGAAAGCCTAATCTCCCTGATACATCACAAAACAGAAAGTCATCCTTCAAACATCTGTCATATTACAGTAGTATTAGAAAGCTTAGACATCCACATCATGCAATGTACAATTTTAAGCTGATGTTTTTTTATTCCTTTTTTGAAATGGGACTTGAGATTAACTGATTATGTAACTGAATAAGTATCTTTCTATCATCCAATGACAGTCACTATAGTTTAACTATATCTTTCGTATAAATGAAGGTAGCTACTGTTACTGATTTAGTACCTCTCAGTAGTATTGTTCTCGATTATTCACTCATTTTTGTTACTCCCTCTTGATGACTGTTTCGATTTCGTATCCTTCTTTAACCTAACTGAATTTAGTTGTGAATATAGAAATGGAATATGTTTATATTCTACATTCACGTGTTGTTGTTTTACTTGCATCATCCCATTGTTATTTAGGACTGCAATTGATCAGTTTTATGTTGGACTATGTGCATCCTGTGCGGATTGCCTCAATATAGCCTTAATAGTCACAAGCTTTTTAAGCAAAGATGAATAGTGGCTAGCAGTGGAATCCAGTTTGAAGCGTGTTTCGTCCTATTTGGGACTCGTCAGCTGGATGTACCTGCATCTTAGGGTTGATATTCACTCCGAGATTCAAACCCAGTACCGTTCGCTTCAAACGCCACTGTTTTGTTCACTATGAATCCTATCATAGATAACTGTAAAACGACTTAAGCAAAACATTTTATAATCTAAATTCTATATGTTATTTATTTATTATTTTAGGCTGTACTTCGTAGTATCGGTTCGTTCTATGTAGGCTATGATCATACATCATTTGATTATCCAACAGATTCATTGTATCGTGATATTCTATTCCGTCGAATTCATTTAAATAAACCAGGTGTTTATGCAAATTTTGAAATACGTCTATTATCTCGTGAAGGTAGTATTAGTTCACCACATTTAATGGCTGTTGAATTATCTGTATGGCGTTCTCCAAGTCTTACAACATTATTATCTTCATCATTATCTAATAATGTATATGACAATAGTAATTCCATTCTTCAAGCTATTAATTTTTTTATTAAATTAGAGAATGATGCATTAAATAGCTCACTTTATGTTTGTCCAGCTGCTTGTTATTCAACACCAGTTCTAGTCAAGTAAGTGTCTTAAATATTTTTCACTTTAGGATATATTGTAATGGAGATTTTTTTTGTATGATAATATATGTATTACATACTTACGCCTGTTACTCCTCGTGAAGGAGAATAGGCCACTCACCAGCATTCTCCATCCAACCCTATCCTGGGCAATCCTTTCCAGTTCCTATAGATCCTTTTCATATCTGCTTCTATTTCCCAACGTAATGTGTTCTTTGGCCTTGCTCTTTTACGCTTCCCTTCAGGATTCCAAGTTAAGGCTTGCCTCGTGATATATATGTATGCATATGATTTAATGTGACTTAGAATTATTCGGAGAAATCAGTAGTTATGCAATAAATAGCTATCTGTAGTCGATGATTAAATGCATCTTTATAACTATTATCGATTTCTAGCCAGAAATAATGAATCATTACAACATGACATAAACAGTAGACACCATTTTCAGTAAAAAAAAATGTTTTTTGATATTTCAACGTGATTATCTTAAGGGTTTATCCATCTTACTACCAATCCATTTATAATATTCAATAGTCAGAATATAAATAAAAGGATAATTATCAGTATATGGTTATAGAGATTACTACGTTTTAGATTGATATCATAAACTGATTGATGTTAGACCACCATTGAAAATCTGGAAGCACCGAATGGCCGTTTCGTCCCAGTATGGGACTCCTCATCGATGACCACCAATGATACTACAAGATTGATTCAAACCCATAACCTTCAATCTAACATTAATCGATTCATGATCACAATCCAAGATTTAACAATCCCCACAACCCCATCTTCCCATTAGTGAATAGATTTGTAAGAGAATTCTCGAAGTTCAATGAAGGTCTAATAACAATCGATTCATGATCTCAATCAAACAAAAAGGATCATTGTTATGCTCTAAGGTGTAAAACCTCCGGTTATTTTCGAATTGTTAGCTGAATGAATTTCTTGCTAATATCTGATTGGTTCAGCCATAAATTATAGTCTTTCCAAAAAAATTACTGTCATCTATCATATTACATAATGTTCACTGATTCGTAATGTTTTCTTCGCCTCTATACATTGATATTTGTCAATAAGACTCTTTTATTATTATTATTATTATTATCTATACTGGTTATTTTTCATCTACTCTCTTTATTAGTCTAATCGGCCAATCACAATCAAGGTTATAGATAAAGATCATGTGACCAAAGGTCGTCTTTGATCAAACATTAAAAAAAAATTTTCTTTTCTCTACCCCCTCACAAACGATCGATAAAAATAGATTTTATCCCAGAAAAATAAAGAAATTAGAATGTGATTTTAAAAATAACTAACTAGCATAGATTATTAATCTTCAATAATAAAATAATAAAGTGTATTTTAATTTGGTTTATCTTAAATAAATAATCGATTGTTTGTTACCTTAGCAACAATCCTTACCTAAACAACTATTGGCGATTTATGTAATTACTTTTGTAACTTCAATCATTGAAATTATGAGTCAATTAAAGCTAGACCACCATGGAAAACCTGGAAGCATTGAACATCCGTTTCATCCTATTGTGGGATTCCTCAGCAATGGGCATCGACGAATCCGGCCCCCCGCGAGATTCGAACCCCAGAACCTATCAGTCTCGCGTGCAAGCGCTTAACCACTAGATCACTGAGATGGCCGTGCTAATGTCTAACCTCAACTAATCCACGAAATTACGCCACCGTCCACCATTGACTCATGATTTCAATTATTGAAATTACTAAAATCTCCTTAAAACCCCTCCTGATAACTACTTTTGTATTATAAAGTAATTTACACTACTTAAGTTGTTTTCAATGTAAAGAATTATTGTAATGAATAGATCATTACTATATCACATAGCTGTATCTTCATCTATTAGTATATATTCTGTCATTATTTTGATTTATTAAGGAATCAAGAGTATCGTTTTTGTGCTATGAGTTCTAATAAACTGAAAATAAGTTTTATTTTACTATCAACTTGGAACTGTCACGACAAATAGTACTCCCAGAATCTTGGCACCTATGAAACTGTGCTAATAAAAGTAGAATAAGTGTTTATATCACAAGTGAATGATTATATATATATATATATATATATATATATATACTTTTTTTAGAGAGTTATTTATGTATGGCGACACCACCAGTTAAGTAAGTTTATGTGTAGAACACTGGTTGATTGTTTATAAGATTATGAACGTATAACTAATTATACTGGGGAGCAGACAACATTTGAATTCTAACTGAAAATATAGATCCGTAGAATTGAGAACATATTTTCACGGCTATATAGAAATTGTCTAGATGAATACTGTATTTCAGTAGATATGGATATTCGCATAAATATCATCCATAGTGGTTTAGCTTCAATTGACTCATGATCTTAACTACTAAAATTACTATAATATCCACAAAACCCCTTCTGACGGTCTCCAAGAGGTATATCCTGTAGTTCTTGTGAAAACCAGTGACCAGTGGAGTCCAACTGGGTCTGTTGTGAGACAGTAACTCACTGATGACAATGGTAGATATGTTGCTCAGTTTCATCGATTGGTTGAATTTAGACATTAACACGTTTGGATACCGGCTATCTCAGTGGTCTAGAGGTTAAGCGCTTGCGCGCGAAACTGATAGGTCCTGGGTTCGAATCCCGAGAGGTAGAATCGTGGATGCGCACTGCTAAGGAGTCCCACAGTAGGACGAAATGGCCGTCTGGTGCTTCCAGGTTTTCCATGGTAGTCTAGCTTCAATTGACTCACGATCTCAACTACAGAGATTACTGAAATCTCCACAAAACCCCTTCTGATATCTATTTTTTGTGTTGTGAGTTTTAGTAATCTGAAAATAAGTTTTATTTCACTATGTCATCGGTTACTAACCATATAATATATAATGTTCAAAAATAGGATATCGCTGCTTATTATATGAAAATCCATAGATTATGAATTAGGCATTGGAATATAACTCATTTGTACTCTTCCTTCTTGTATATCATGAGATTGTTCACGATAGAACTACCTCATGAATTCACGAAGTAAACTCTCAGCATAGTGATTAGATACACAAGTTACACTTTTTGCCTTGTCTAGTTAAATATATAATTGTTTATTTGTACTTCTGTAGGTAACTGATATATTTTGGATACTTTTTCACTACAATGTTTCTTTCTGTAAAGAGTAGTAAAATGAACAAAATATCTTTTTCACTAATTAATAGACTGTGTGCTGTGTAAACTGAAGGTCACTGCTGTCGACCATGCAGGAACTTCTCGTATAACGAAAGAAATATACTTGTATGGATCTTGATTGTGTATCAATTGACTGACTTAATATGATTTTTGTTACTGAGGGATAACTACTCCTAAAAATTGATTTTTTTATACAATGTCCGGAATAGCAGATGCTAAAAAACAATCAATTGTTCACCAGCAGAAATGAGTCCTCTTATTTAACAAAACGATATAACCGTGTAAATAAACTTTTTGATTCATATCATGAACCAGTTGATGTCAGACCACTATTGAAAACCTGGAAGCACTGGACAGCCGTTTCGTCCTGTTGTGGGACTCCTCAGCAGTGCGCACACCCGATCCCGCTCGCGGGATTCGATCGGTTCATGATATGAATCAAAAACTTAATCATCTCCACAACCCTATACTGAAAATAAACTTTTGCGTGATATATGTTATTTAACCCAATTTAACTTATGTCAGGGGATAAACATTACTATCTTTGAAACATGTGCTGTAACACAAATTTTGTTTCACAAAACCGCGTATCCTGATAGAAAATAGTGGTAACATCTTAAGTGTTACTGGTCAAAATAGAGAGTAAACTGTAATCAATCAGAAGTGAGTTACTCTCTCAAGTGAGTCGTTCAGTTGGATTATTCTGTTTAAATCAATGGCCTTTCAGAAATACGGAGACCGTAATTTACGTTTTGATCTAATTCAGTAACAGTAATATTCTGTTGTTTTATTTTAACAAAACTATGTTATTTCTGTATATCTGATAAATTTATTTAAAATAACGTCAAAAATAAGATTTCGCCTGAATTGAAGGGGTCAAATAAGGACAAGTGGAAAAACAGCTACCTACTGAGACGATGAATGAACTGTTTCAATATCATATGGAAAGAAACAGGAATCAATGAACAGATTATCACCTGATACTATTATAAAGAGTCATCTGAGAAATGAAAAGATGAACAAACTTAATAGAATATTAGTATATAGGGAACGACTTGGGTTGCGTTTGTTCAGAACAGAAGCACGATACTATAAATGAAAATGTTATTCTGAGTCAAGATGTTTTATCTCGATGTATCCATGATCTTTTTGAAAACTATAATGCATGTTTAGTTGTTAAGCGGGAACACTTTCATCTTCCTAGTAAACAACATTCAGATATTACTTTCATCCGACCTACAGAGACATTTTAACCCAGTATTTTCATCGCCGATTGTTTCCCTAGATTCCTATGTTTTGCTCCTTTCCTTTAGTCAAATTATTTACTTAGATCTCGGATTCCTCCACGTAAGCAGCCGGTGTTAACAATTCGAGTTAACAAAGTCGGATTTCCGATTTCGCAAGGTTGCACCACATATTTGAGTTTCCGACATTCACATTTTGTCAAACCAACCTATAGGCCTCATTAGTTGAAAAATAGACACTTCCGAGTGAAATCCCGATTGATATTTATCTGTAGTATCCTCAGTTGGATGAGCTTGTAAGATTTTCGAAAGGTCAAGATACGTGTCTTTGTTCTTTGGATTCCAAACTGGCTACAGCTTAAACGTAGAGGTCAGTTTTGTTGAATATTACTCAACCTTCTCAGAAAAACCCAGCACTCAAACGTAGTAATTTATGCAGGAAGCTTTAACGCCTAAATATGGCAGTCCAAATCAAGCAAATATTCAAGTGATGATTTGACATTCCATCCCAATGAATAGACCATAATAACTTCCACTGGCACCCCAACCCGGCCTAAGGCCTCGTGTCGCTGCTGGGTAGTAGGGGGAGCCCCGATCGAAGCTGCTACCTTGACGCGGTGGTCGGGCTTGTCTATCGTGATGACCCAACCGAGCTATATTGGCTGGAACATATGCTCCTGCAGGTTCTACCATGCCAGGCAGATCGATTGGTGAACGGTAAGACTAAAAGCAGCAACTCAAGGTCTGAGGGCGAAGTCGTACTGCTGACCGTAGAGGGGTGTGACAGCAGTAAGGTGTTTCCCTCGGACAGCGATGCTGCCTTCCCACAAGGAGGGGTGGGGTTAGAAAAGGTCGACCCTAAAAATGCACACCTCACCTTACCTCACGGATTTCCGTCTCCGGCGGTAAGGCCCGTTGAAGAACGGAGCTAACACGTCAAAAACCTTCCCCAAAAAGGCCGTGCACGACCGGCCTCAAGCAGTTGTCCCTTGGGCTCTGCGGTCACGCTCCCAGGTCGTCAAGACCAACACTAATCCAATTTCCTTTTCAGGTTCCTCATGAAATACCCTTCCACGGTGTGGGCAGCCGGGAAGTGATATCAGCCCTCATATCCGTAACAGCACAAGAGACCAAGGTGGTCACATTCAAATCCTTCCCACACCTCCTAATACCTCTCTTATCTCCATGACTAACCCTCCTCACGTCTCTTTATCACCTCGCACCGCTTTCGGACCTTCTCCGAAAAGCTAAGCGCTCGGATGTAGTAATAGTGGCCGGTGACTTTAATGCTCAAGTAGGTAAACTAAGCAATAGGGAAAGACACCTAGGTGGATCTTATGGTGTCGTGGCTCAAAGAACAGATAATGGCGACCGTCTGTTGCAGCTATGCTCAGATAACCGCCTGTTCCTTGCAAATACTAACTTTAAGCATAAGGAAAAACATCTTTTAATATGGCGACCCCCTAATTCGTCCCAACGTTGGACCCAAATAGATCACATCGCTATCAGCCACCGATGGAGGGGCTCGATAGAAGACTGTCGCTCATTCTGGAGCACATGCCTAGATTCAGATCACGCTCTAGTGCGAGCCCATATTTGCTTGCGTCTTACTGGACGTAGGAAAGACGCTGCAAGGAAACCTCTTGGGAGCCTACTTAATGATAGTCAAGCTAAGAGTATATTTCAGGAACAACTAGGAAAACAGTTAGGCAGCCATGTATGTGATGCCCACCCCGATGCATCATGGAATGATATCCGAAAAGCTGTGGAAACAGCAGTGCTCTCAGAGAAAGATGGACATATTATTCATTCTCAATCCAGGAGATTGGATCGATGGGCAGAACACTTTAGGGATCAGTTCAACTGGCCTTCAGCCACACTTCGGTTTCCCACGATCTCTAGTCAACCTGAATAGCAAGTTAATGTAGGTCCTCCGTCCCTTTACGAAGTTGAAAAAGCCATAGGAAATCTGAAACGAGGGAAAGCAGCAGGCCCTGACAGGTTTACTCCTGAGATTTTTAAGGATGGTGGTCCAGTATTAGCAATGAGATTAACCGAGGTCTTAGGTAGAATTTGGGAACTGGACGTAATCCCATCTGACTGGTCTCAATCACTGATTGTGCCAGTCTATAAGAAAGGACAAAAGTCCTCCTGTGACAATCACAGAGGAATCAGTTTGACTAATATAGTGTCTAAAATATTAGCCTCAATAATACTTCGACGCCTAATCAAAGCTCGTGAAGAGCAGATTAGAGAAAACCAGGCCGGTTTTCGACCTGGACGTGGTTGTATAGATCAGATATTCACACTACGTCAGGTTCTAGAACACAGACACACATTCAGACGCCCCACAATCGTAGTATTTCTCGACCTTAAGGCGGCATTCGACTCTGTTGATCGTGAGGTTCTATGGCAGTGTTTGTCACTGAAAGGAGTACCAAAGAAGTACATTAACCTTATAAAGGCTCTCTACTCGAACACAACTGGTAGAGTGAGAGCTTATGGCGAACTGTCATCAGAATTGATTACCTCAAGTGGTGTTCGTCAGGGCTGTCCACTCTCCCCATTCTTGTTCAACTTTGTGGTCGACGTACTTTTAGAGATAACACTCTCCTCATCTAAATTTCCAGGGGTTGAACTTTTACCGGGAGGTTCACTTGTTGACTTAGAATATGCAGATGACATAGTTTTATTTGGTGAAGACGCTGACAAAATGCAGAGTCTTCTGACCACTCTAAGCAACAATGCAAGCATGTTCGGGATGCGATTCTCTCCCTCGAAATGCAAAATGTTGCTTCAGGATTGGGTTACATCGACACCCGAACTAGTGATAGGGAGTGATGTAGTTGAGTGTGTCGACCGCTTCACTTATCTTGGAAGTCTCATCAGCCCTTGTGGTTTAGTGTGTGACGAAATCTCAGCACGGATACAGAAGGCTCGACTAGCTTTTGCCAACTTGCGTCATTTATGGCGTAGGCGAGATATCCGTCTATCAACCAAAGGACGTGTTTACTGTTCAGCAGTTCGTTCCGTCCTACTTTATGGCAGTGAAACATGGCCGGTAAGAGTAGAGGATATCCGTAGGTTACTAGTATTTGATCATAGGTGTCTTCGAAACATTGCTCGTATATCATGGGACCATCGAGTAAGTAACACAGTTGTTAGGAAACGGGTACTAGGTAAGGATGGCAAATCAATTGATGAAGTAGTGAAACTTCATCAGTTGAGATGGCTGGGACACGTGTTACGTATGCCCAACGACCGACTGCCTCGACGTGCTATGTTCAGTGGTATAGGAGTAGGTTGGAAGAAAGCTAGGGGCGGCCAAACCAAAACATGGCACAAGTCCATGAAGTCACTGACAAGTGAACTGAGTCATGTTGGTAGGTGTAGACTACCTGGTTGGGGACCGCGAGATGATAGCAACCGATGGTTAGAAACCCTGAATGACATGGCTCAATATCGTTTGCAATGGCGCAGGTGCATCCACTCTTTGTGTTCTCCCAAATTCTAATCTTCTGAATTCTTCATGTCCCTTTTTTCCTCTTTCCAAATTTATTTCACTGGATTATACTCTTTAAATAACGGGATTTGAATCGACAACTGCATCTCTCTGCTAATGTGGTGTGGCAACTCGAACTGATGTACGTACGTACGAAGTTCTACGTTGTTACTGACTGACTGAGTAGGGGGAGCCTTGCCAACCAACTTAGGCGGTCAACGGAGAACAAACTGACTACACACTCTATTGTATCTTTGATCAACTTGAGGCTCACATAACCGCACTGAGCCATTTGATTTGTATGCTTATATTCAAGAATTGCAGAAGTCTTCGGGCTTATGTAGTTCATTTATGTAGGTATATTCAAAAGGGATGCGTGTGGTGTCGTACGAAGGAAACGCCGGTTGAAATATTGTTTGCCCTATGTCTAATAAAATAAGGAGCCTGTTAATCAGATCAAAGACAAAAAGAGTTAGCAGCAAATGCCAGGAAGAGACGACCAACAACCTCTCATGAGAGAATGTTTATGCTTATGTGTTTGTCGGGAAGTAATGGGGCGATAGATATGTCCCTAATGATATGCATGTAATGTGTTAGAGACAATCTGGTGTAGCGAATATGTTCCCAAGGGAGTGGCGAACACATATCCTCCCAGGCACGTGAACATACCTATATGTATGCTATGAGATACGCGGAATAAAACCTGTGTTACTGGTGTGCATATTTGCTCACAGGATAGGTATACCTGTGTGTATACTCGGATGAAAGTCTGTGCGTTGCTTAGTATGCATGTTGATCACACCTATTCATGGTAAGTAATCACTAGAAATCCTTTACTTGTTCGTATTACGCTATTCAGAGTTCTTGGAGTTCAGATGTTAGGTATAAATTGTGGTCGCGTGACGAAAGTCGGATAATGTTAAGTAGAACTTAGCTACTTATCAAATCCCACTAAGACAAGTAGTCTTTCGCTGTAGCGGGCGCAAATTTCGCCTTCTTTCGTGGAAGACACTTAGATAAGTAGAGCTGATGAGTCGCAGATAACAAAAGCCTTGATATAAACACTATTTATCGACCGACTGTAGGGTAGGTACCGACGACACAAACTGCTATTTCAATGGACCGTATAAAAACAACCATCATGTTATACAAGTTTTATTCACTTCTGAAATACGTACCCTTGGGACAACAATCAGTTTCACTAGCAAGATCGCAAGTCGGTAAATGAGATTTCGATTTATATCTGGTTAAGTGGTGATGATATTAGCCAAGCTCACCGTTTTCCTGTACTGATGTTACATGAACACTAGCACCGAAGTCCTCTAGAATAGTATTGAGATTAGATGACACGAAAAATGACCTTGGGACCACCGGCTATTAATTCTAGCATCTGATAGCGGTGCATACTCCCAGTGTCTGCTAACTTGAGTGCCTTGAGTGGGATACATAGTCGCAGTTACGCTCATTCTTAACCTTCACTTGATTATGTTTCATACTACTTTTATATTTCGCACTCATCGGATTATCATTGCAAAAATAAACCACCTTATATTATCTTGATTCACTGCTTTCTTGGTGTCTGTTAGGGCAGTGTGAAGTGGTTCTTAAAACACATTGCCAGTACATCCTTTATTTCTATGATTGCTGCCAAAAACCTAAAATTACTGATTACCCACCCACTTGACTATTCAGTACCTCAAGTAGACGAATACATGTACTGCTCAGTGTACAACAGCATGTATGAATTACAACTAGACTCAGTAATACTTAAGCTTTGCATTATTTCCGTTATAAGCACCCACACCTTAGTGAATGGTTAGGCAGCTAAAACACTTAAACAAATCATTTCATTCCAAGTCATGTTATGCGTCTACAAAGTACAGTGTAACTCCCTAACCATAATGCACTTTTTGCAGACTATGTATTTTTCTAATGATCTTGACCTTTCGACAGATTATTTTTTTGCTTTTTAGGACTACTAGACTCGTCGTGCCATTTACCGTAAGTATACCGCCTACAGCACTAATGTATCTAGGAACTGAACTCGGAGAGCTCAAGAAGTACAGTCAAACTCTACGTTATGTTAAAATATCTCCCGGTCCAGCACCCAGACATGATATAATTACATTGCATAGACATGGACATGCATTCGGCGGGTTACCATGGCTTTTTTGGATTAGTTTGGTTTTACTGATCGCTATTTTTCACATGTTTTTCTGTAAAATCATATACAACGAACTGCGAAATAAGAACCAGAAGTTTGAACCTCAGAATTCCTGGAAGTTACCACGATACGCGTCTGATTTGATCTCCTCAACAGACCTCGAAACTAAAGCCCTTAGAAACACCCAGATATCAAGACGAAGAATAGTTGATTTAGACACTGTCCCATGACTGGGTCATAGTGAATCTAACTATTTTTCATCCAATTTGCTTTCTTTTATAAAAAAAAAATTTTTAGAGATAAACATTTATATACATATATGAAACAAAACTGTTTTGAACAAAGCACGGTTATTCATACTGAAAAATATAGTGTTAGAAAGTAATATTACATAACAGATGTTTATGTTCTTCAAATTTATTTCCGAATGAATTACGGTTGGGTGAGCAACTCTTAGGAAGTGCACAACACCGGATACCATAAGTTATCCAAGCATTACACAAAAATACAACAAATTAAACCAAAAAGAATTCGTAACTTGCTTTGCGAATGATACAGGAGAGGGAAAGTTATTAATTTGGAGTACTGTTAAATTAGTGACTGGACACTTTGGTTAGCAATGTACATTTACAACGAGTAGTTTCAAAGTACCAATACATTTCTAGATTTTCTCTGTACATCCCAAAAGATTTCTGTACAATTATTCTACAAAACTAAAGAACAGCTGCTGCCACGCAAGCACTTGGTTATCAAACAGGTCAGTAAAAGCGTTGTTAGGCATTGAAAAGTTTATCACAGATACCGAGAGCGCTAGTAAACATAAAAGACAAACATAACTACGAACAAGTAGGCAGAACAATAACCAGGCCGTGTGACAGGTTAATAGACTGAAGAAGTTTGAAATAAAGATTCTTAGTAAAAGCCAGGTTTAGCTGCCCATGAGTACGCCACTAGAAAATGCTCCGACAGCTTTAACCAGTTAGAGCGTACCGGGAGTAAAGGCAAACAAAGCGAAGTTAAAGCGCCATGTGACGGGACTTGTGAAATTAAGGGATGACAAAACAATATTAGAAGGGAAAGCGGCCTGTTAAGGTGAGCTGCCGCAAATGAGCCGTGATTTACATTGAAAGAGTTGAGGCTGAAAGTCAAAAAATCAACAGAGATCTAAATTACAAAATGCAAAGAACAAATGCTAACCAGAGTTGGAATCAGAACATCATCAAATACGTAACGTAAAGGACATGTAGGAAGGGCATGATGACAATCTGCTTACGATAGGTTTTTAGCTACTTTTGTGACCTCCTGTCGAATCAGCAGGCGATGTGCGACCGGAATGATCGGCACTATGAACATTGTTACGAAAGATTGATGACGCATATGAAACGTTGTGACCTGCAGAAGACTCCGAATCATGTTGAGGACTCGAACCGTTCATTTGCATCCAAGTATTAGATACACCGTTAGGACAATAATTTAGGCCGTAGACAAGGTTTAGAACCCGTTGGTCAATTTTCCCACCACTATGCTCCTAAACTCAGTTAGTACAAAGTAAAAGCAACATACCTCCAAAAATCTGAAGAACGTTTCACCTGTGAGCATTGCGTCACTTCCAGCTTGGTGCTGTAAGCCGATACGTGGTACTCTCATTAGGTCGGCTAACTCTTGTAATCCACTCTTGGGGAACTTGTGCTCACTCATCATTGACTTTAGATCTACTATCCTGGGAAAGAAAATCAACAACAGCTTTTGAAACTCCAAGAAGTTGTCCGGCATCCTCATCCAATCTGTACAAATCTTCATCAAATAGGCAAAATCGTAGGCACTAAATATGGCTTTAATTTAGCTCCTCGAAACCTACCTGTGGAACCCTATCCACGTTATTTTGTCATTCAGCGGAAGACCACTGGTAAGAAAAGCCTCTGCGAAATCACTAAGTTCAACTCCTGTTCTTTTTAACTTATCGAAGTCTATTCCAGAAACTTCCAATAATTGAATAGAATCGGCCGCATGCATTTCATTGTCAACATTCCACTTGATGTTAAACTGAACAGTTGAGACCGAATCGACCGTCTGACCACTCTCGTCGAAAAAACTAAACCCAATCTGTATTGGTTTAAGCATGTCAATATTAACTTTAATATTGTGGTAGGCTTGTTCAAAACTGTTGGCGTACTCACCAAAAACCTTTGCAACAACGCCTGGAAACTCTGTATCTACCGCAACATACTGACATTCTCGTACAAGTCTACGGACAAGGCGCATTCCCTCGTGAAAATTGTGAGCCCAAATATCCCAAACGCGAACCTGACTGCTATCCTGTGGAACAGTGAGGGCGGTGACATTGTTAGAATTCGAATGAACATGATGCAGTATTCCATGGTGAACGTGATTATGTGTAGTATGTCCATGACTGTGGTACGCGGATCCAGAGGTGTAACTATCAGTTGTTACTGTCATATTAGATCGGTAGTTATACTTTCCGAAATGAGGATTAACAGGTGACTCGGGAAGTGAAGTATGAAGTATGTGGTTTGAATAGCCGTTTTGTGTTATAGATTGGAGTTCGCGGAATGGGTGCATTGAATAACATAAGTGACACATTCAGTTATCCTGCCTGAAAATATACACAAGAAATAAGAATCACACCAATTACGTAAAGCAATAGAATAAGATAGCAAAAATAGGCAAACACATACCAAGACCGCTCATAAGAGTAAGACAATAGTTCTATTCCGCACTTTGACACTTTCGCTTCCCCCCAAAAATACAGAGTAGCTTGATGAAACAAAACGAGTGTTTTAGAAAATTAAGCATTTTACTCGCTGATGTTAGTGTTTATTTATTGACTAATAATTACATAAGCAATTTTTCAGTATAAATCGCAAGACTTTGATACTATTACCGTTCAATATACAATCTTAATCTTTGCACTTTTTGAAGACAGAATACCACAACCATTTAAGATACTGAGACAGTGGGGCGTGGCTCATAAACATGGTAATTACTACGACGACAACTGGAATGTAGAAAACAAGATGTCAAACTGTGGCTCTGAATATTCAACAGATGATCCTTGTAAATTGGGTGTAGAAACCTCGGAGTAGATGATCTGCAGTGGTATTTGAATCCTTAAAAGTTAATGGTTCTGTAAGTCTTTGACATTTGATGCTAACTGCGTTAGTTTTAATGGACTCACCCAACTGAAGGCGCTCTATCATGCTTCCGCACTACATCTACACATCTACAACCGCTTGTCAGCTTAGATTAAAAACTTATCGATATATTGATAGCCCATCGAATATGTCTTCAAACCTCTCAGCACACTCCCTGTTTTCTGGATAAACTTGGAGATGGCATTATCAGTAAGGTCGTCCGATTACAAACCATTGAAATACATAATATCATAAGTTCTAGTTCAGTACACCATCAATCTCACTAGATATGGGTTAGGTGCCATGTCTGTGTTAGATTCAGGCTCTAATGGATGTGATGATCTTAGTTGAATTGAACACATCCAGCCCAGGAAGTGATCACACTGTCCAGCGCCCTAAAGTCTAACACGCGAACATTATGGTCCATCCCAATGCATAGAAGATGATGTGAATGTAACCAACCTTACGGCCTCGATCGGAGACTGAACAGTCGACTTGGAAGCATCGGCTGGAGTGTTTTGAAGTCGATTCTAAAGGTTTTTCGACTCATTTTTCACATTCTAGACTGTTCCAAAGGAATGAAAACTTGAATATTCCTGGATACATTGTGAGATTTACTTGCTTCAACAAAAGTTACTGGAACATTTCCAATATTCTTGGAACAGAAGAGACAGTAAATCCTTGCACGTCAATTCAAAATAGATGAATCATGACAATCTGTAAACCACAGAGAAAATCAAGCAACCGATGCAATTATTCTCAAACATCATTTACAGAACGGCAGCATGTTTACAAAGTCTCAATTCAGTTAGTGGGCGGAGTGAGTCATAGATGGGAGAGAAACCAAGGCTAAACGAAAGCTATGGCAAGTTACTTCATGATGACGTTTGCTCATGAGCTTCTTCATAACACATGACTGGCCTCAGAATCGATGTCATCTAAACACCCCCCTTCTTACTTCAACCAGGATGATGGATTAAAGTCACTAAGACCTCCAAATAGAGAAAGAAACGGGAAAGGATGGTTCACATCCTTAGACTATTGATACAACATGTGATATATCTCTGTCCCTCGCACTGTAACGTTCAAAATGCCTGTCCATCAATATGACGCCAGTGAGCTAGGAGGATGTGGCTGCCGCTCTTTAGTAATACAATCATACACAAGTTTCAGTAATCTGAGCATTCTATGTGCCATATTTGAAAAATAGAAAAAAGATAGTGATGATAATGAAACAATAACAAATCAGGTTCTGTATAATTGAGAAGAATATTGGGTTGATTTTAAAAAAGCAAAGGAAGAAAATAAAGGAATAGAAATTGTAGAATCCAAACTGAGGCTTAAACTGAAGAATAATTGTTTAGGTAGTTTAGATGCCCACTATTGCCCAGTTGAAGTCAAAACAAAGTGATCGGGTAAATGACGGTTCTAGATTTCATTATAAATATAAATGTACATCATTACCTAAATAAATATTACCACTCATTTATTCAACCAATAATTGTTCAATTAGTCAAAACTTAATTACAATAAATAAACAAGTTGATAAAGGATTGTAGCGGTAAATAAATCCCCAAAATAAATAGCTCTAAGTTTCCGACATTGGATGCTGACCATATGTTTTAGTGGACTCATCTAGCTGAAGGTGCTCGGTCAGGCATCCGCACCAGATCACGTGTGGTATCGCCGTGCTCAACATCTACCCCAATCGCTAGCAAGATTAGATCAGAGAATTCCGATATATTGGTCATCACCAAATATACTCTTCCGATCTCCTCGACTCTGTCTTTTGATTTCTCTCGGTGGATACAAATTATATTAGAAGGAGTTGCTGGTAAATCGTCAAAAACTGAATACCTTTTCCATCTTCATTACTATATCTTCCTGCCGTCTTCTTCGTTCTTTCATATTTCCCTCTCTTGTCGCTTCTCTGGATGGGAACGAAATATATTAGAAGGTGTTACTGGTAGAAGCGTTGTCAAACACTGAATACCTGTGACATCATCATTGGTGAGACTGACGTGATCTGGTACACCTAATTGCAACCGTGAGTCTGTTCCTTTTTGGGATTTTTATATATCATTGCCTTATTTTTTTATTTTTTTTAAACATTGTGATTTTTTTCGTGTTTTTTCCTGTATATATATATATTTCCCCCTCGTTCATTATCGTACTTCATATTTCATCATGACTGAACGGACACCCAAAGTTTTTTAGATGATAGTTGGAGGTAGTC